ACACACACACACACACACGCATACAGACCCATAGGAGCACATTTACATTTACATTAGCCGCTAGGCAGGTGAAGCGTGTCCTTGCCGTGCTCCTGTAACTGCTGTTGCCCCTTTACCATTCATCCTGTCGTCGCACCGTTGGTGTCCTTCCCGTCATCCTATCCCGTTGGCCAACTGCCAGTCCCAGCCCAACCCCAACAACCCATTGAGCTGTCGCCTGCCTATCATTACCTATCAACGACAATTCTTGGGAATAATAAGAAACGTTACTTGATCCCCCTTGGATATACCCTGTAGTTAGCATTGAGTTTCATCAATATGAGGAACCCTTTGCTTACCAAGCCTATACAATATTGCAATATGACATTATTTACTACATCCCGTGTGTATGTCATATATTTTTTTAAAATCATCAATAGATATTTTATATCGCCATGTTAATTTGTAAAGAAACCCAGTTGATTATTTAGTATCGCTCCTAATTGGAGAATATTTACTTTTGCTATAAATATTCCTATTGCTATATTGACTTGTTGTCATATGTTTAATTGACAAGTTCGGTTTCTTATATACAATTTCAATGTAATAAGCCTCTTGAAATTGTTATAAACTAAATATTTAGATTTTATATAAAGTGTGTATCGTAAAATGAGCTTTAGGCAGGCAGGCAGATAAAATGAATTGTCTAGATCGACTCCGTCATACTCTACCTTTCTGATTGTTAAGGTTTACTGAGCTACACCCCGCTGCTGCTCTCTACACTCACTTGCAGTAACAACAGCATTGTGTTGATAGAAGAGAATGAAACAAACGACTGAATATAATCCCCGCCCACTTTATAGAAAGCGACCTGATTGTCGTCGTCGTAAATAATTTGTTGGCTAGTGCTTTCATTGATAAGAAAGCGTTTTACAGTTCTTAGCCGCTTGTTTGCCGTTTGTGTGTGCCGCTGACAGGTGTTGCGTTGGCGGCAGGGGTGGCGCAGTGGGGGGCAGGTAATTCGTTTTGTTATAGACGAAGGTCGCGTGCCGCCGTTTGTCGTCTTAGGGAATTATGCAATTTGTTTGGCTTATTGCTTACTGCTGCTGGCTGCCACAGCTCTTGGGCTATTATTTATTGTAAATTGACACAAATGAATTCAATTGAATTGCAACAGCAACAGCAACATCAACAGCAGCAACAGGGTGCACACAGCCACAGGGTGTGCCCTACTACGACTTGTTGCCAGGCAATCAAAAGTGTACGCAGTGGTGTATTTAACTGTTGCTGGTTTGTCATCGAATCGAATTGGCTAGATCGTTATCAATTTATATACAAGAACAACAGCAACAACAGCAATAATAATAATAATAATTTTAGTAGTAATTGTAATACTAACAGCAACAGCACTAAATGAGTTCCACGTGTGGCAATAGAGCTATATCACGCTTTATTTGTTTACTGCATTATGCTTTCAAGTTGTTGTTGTTGTTTTTCCCCTTTACCACTTACTGATAAACAACAAATTATTTGTGATTGAAAATGCATACGAGCAAATATATTTATGTACTTGCTTTAATCAATTTATTTTACAATAAGCAGAGCTGTGCCATTTTTTGTTTTTGTGTATATAAATAGTAGGGTAGTGTACATATATGTAGGTATATATGTATGTATATGCGGAGAGTATTACACACATTTGTGGCCTGACTTTGCACTTTGAGTTGCTTTGTTTTTGTATCTCTTTGTAGTTTGTTGTTGTTTCAACATAATATTATATGTGAGTCAAATCATAAATGACTAAGCATAGCTCGTTTTGTCGTAGTGATAAGCGATATACCAGATGAATAATGGTATATGGGGGATTAAAAGTAAAAGTGAAATCGAAAATACATGTTCTGGCATGTTACGATCCAATATCTCATTCATCTTTATTTAAGAGTAAGAAATATTAGGTTTTTATCCTATATTTCAATCAATTTAGAATAATTAATGAAACCCTTTTGCTAGTAGTAAAACTCAGTTATAATTCTTATCTTTCTTTATTTATTTATATATATATATTTATATTTTGTTTCATTAATTTGAAGCTGAGTGTTTGAGTCATTCAGTGAATTCCTTTTATTTCGAGTCTTTTTGCCATTCAGTCGGTTATCAATTAAATGGGCTTATAAATTGTAAGTCAAATGCAAATTACTCAAATGTGGCAATTGTTATTTTATTTCCCTTCTGTTATTGTTTTTGTTGTTGTTGCTGTTGTTGTCGCTAATAAAAATTGAATAAAATCGCGCGTTCAATAACAACAGCCGCGCACGGCCCACGACTAGCGAGAGGGAAGGGGGGGCGGACCAGCTACAGCAGAGGGAAGCCGATAGAGCCAGACAGAGAGCAGCCCCGCTTTTGGGGGCTGCTCTCCGCGACTGATGATGACCCCGTTTCGAGTCGCATTGCTTGGAAAGAAAAATCAATTAAATATCAAATGGAAAAGCAGCTACAAAACGAACGAACTGGCAACAAAATCTCGATTGTTCATATATAGCTCGACTCAGTGTAACGCGTTGAACGCAAATTCATTTGCGTAATGTATAACTGTCATACGATATGTGCATGGCATATGTCTGTCTGTGTGCATGTGTTTGTGTGTCTCTGTAGTACAGTTTTTATTATATAGTGAAATCGAAAGCGAATTTGTCCAGTCGAGTGAAGTAGACGTCACAACTGTTCTAATGCTGTTCACTCTTCCACTTCCACTTCCACTTCCATTTCCACCTCCATTTGCTGAACACTCCCCTCCCCTTTGGCTCCCTCCCAACTGGCGCCTTGATGTGTAAAAATGAAGTACAGTCGCGCTTGTTCGTGTCGTTGTTGATTTCCTTGTTTGCATTGTTGCATTCAACGTTTTTGTTGCTGTCTTCTATTATTAGCTGAACATGTTTAACTGTTATTGTTGTTACTGATTTCAATAGTTGCTGTTGTTGCTATTTGCTATATTCTATTTGTTATTTGTATTTTCTAATTTGTAATTTGTAATTTACCTGTGCGCTCAGCTCTGTAATTATCCAGCCAACCTTGCAGCTCTCTCAGCTCATCGTCGCACCCAAATGTGACACAGTTTTTTTTTTAGTACTATTATTATTATTATTGTAATCTCTAGGTTCTTTATGTAATTTGAATTCAATTCGAGTTTGTTTTGTATTCAATTGTTGCTCTATAAATTTTCATTTCGCTTTTGAGAGTTCTGATCCAATTGAATTCGAGTTGTTATTTTGTATTTTCAAGTTTTATCTATCATTGTGAGCATATTTATTGAGTGGCTCGCTCGTTAGACGTTAATTGAAATTAATTAACACATTCAGCTCGAAATTCTGGGTGCTCTACTATTGTTGGAAATCCGAGTCCAACTGGGCGCCCGCTGCTATTTCTGCTGTTTGTCATATGACGATATGGGGTAAATAATATTTAGCACCGCCTTTTAATTGTGTACTGAGAGCATTCGTTATGATATAGGCGCTAATAAAATCTTAAATAGCTATCCTCACACACTCCAAGTGGCATATCTAATATTATAATTGTCTGCTTCACACGGGTTGGGGGCATGCTGCCCCACGTGTCAGCTGATGGGAAAGGAGGCCTGTTTCCCCTAGCCTAGATATCTGGAAATATTGCATTCAGTTCTCTCAAAATCTCTGCATAGTTGAAACTGTTGTCAGTTGTAGAATGTACATTGAATATTTTCCTTGAATGTTTTAAGAAATTATATTATATATAAATTATATAAATTTTGGGTCGTCAAATGTATTAAACTGGATTCCTATTTTATCGTGTGTGTATGTATAATATATTGCGCAACGATTAAGTTCAATGTTAAAATTGAATTGAAGTTTACCTCCGATTGGTTTTATTTGAGCAATAAATATTACGAATCGGATAATCCGAGTATATCATCTGATTTATGTTTCCATTGCATTGTGAAAATGTGGCGAGATTCATCAGCTGTGCAAACTTGAGTTTCTCACAGTCTCTCAGCCACGCCTCAATGCCCCAAGAGGGCCGTGAGAGACTGCCCGCCTTTGGCGTCGCCTGAGGTCTTATCAGGTGTTAATATTTACAGCGCGTAATTGTTAGTACTTGGGGCGAGACCCGCCGTAACTCTCGCACTCCCTATCAGTGGGAATTATTAATTAGGCATTTATTAACGGCCAATGGGTGATTGGAGCATCGCATCGTTGACTTCTTCACATCACGTGCGCATTGTTTTTGCTCCCTTGTTTCAGCACTGCTCCAGCGGAGTGTCGTAGTGGCTGCCTTATCGGCAGACATTTCGAGTCGGTTTATCGTGCGGCTCGTATCAGAGCACGGCCCAAAGTTCAACTACATAAATATGGCTCGCATAGGCTCGCAGCGTACCAGCGTGAGGCAGCAATTGTGATTTACTCATAATAATGTTGCTGTCGTTATCTCTCTTTTGGGGGAGGCGCATATCGCACTCGAAATGGACATGGATTAAGTGCTTTGCCACACTTTTCGCAGTTATCGGGTCAGTTGCTGGGCCGACTTCTGCGGCATTATCTCTGCACTGTTATTGTTATTGTTGTTGTTGTCTCTGCTCGACTAAAGTGCAGCTGAGGCACCTAATTGCGGGTCGGACGCATCTCTTCTATTGTCTTTGTTGATTAGCGTCGTGTGAACTGATTCGGTATTGACTTTTTGATATGACGATCCACTAAATGCCATGTGCCATGGTGCTTATCGATTCGCTGCCCTCCTTAGAGGCACGACAGCAAAAACAAATCAATTAAACGACGTCCAAATTTGGGAGCATCAACGACATCCGATCCGAACGAAAATATCTCATTTGACATCAATTGGTATCAATTATGCAGGCAATGGAAATTATTTTGTATGCTCACAGCAAATTGGTGTATTATGTGCCCCAAGAGAGAGTGAGAGAGGGAGAGAGGGTTTAGGGGGCCTTTTGCTCATTTGAACAGTTGCTCATTAATTGAAATTCTCTTTTACAGTTAATAAAACGCTGCTCACCAACAACAACAACAACAACAACAATAACAATAAGAGCAACAACGAGCTGACTTTGGAGGAGACACCGATTGGCAGCAACGAGAAGCCGCAGAAACTTGAGCTGGACTACCAACAGCAGAAGGTGGATAAGCATCAGCAGGCATCTAACCTGGTTGTATCCATTGCCACCGTAGCACCGCAACAGCACCAGCAGCAGCAAGTGGCCGTGCCACCGCAGCAACACCAGCAGCAGCAAACTTCGCCAGTTGTGCCCCAGCCACAGCAGCAACAACAACAAACGGCAGCTCACAATGAGCAACATGGACAGCAGCAGCAGCAGCAGCAGCAGCAGCAGCAGCATACACCCCATCAGCAACAGCAGCAGCAGCAGCAACAGCGTAAGCCACCTCAGCAGCAGTACAACAACTCGCAGCAGCAAGTGCGTCGCAAGTACTCCTCCGAGTACAACCACCAGCAGAATCACCACCACCATCAGGGCAGCAGCGACACTGCCATACAAACCACCAAGACGATGTCGTGGACAAACTCCGCCCAGCACAAGAAGTCCACGCAGTCGGTGGCGGTCACAGCATCGCCCAACACTGTAAACAATGGGGCAACTGTTGCTGCGGGTGCAGGTCCAGCTGCTGCTGCTACAAGTGGAGCAACTGCAACATCCACTGGGGGCGGCTTCAATAAGCCGTCCAGCACCGTTGGCGGCGGCATCTACAGTCATCCCACCAAGACCTACACCAACCAGCAGCATTACCAGCAACAGCAGCAGCACTATCAGGGCAACTACAGCAGCAACAACAGCAGCAACAACAGTAACAGCAGCAGCACTAGCAACAACAACAGTCAGCCACAGGTGCGCACATATGGCACGATGAAGGTGCCCTCATCGCCTGTTGCAAGCTCGGCTCCATCGCTGGAACGCAAGATTAGTGGGCAGCAACAGCAGCAGTCACAACAGCTGGGCAACAGCAATACAACAACAACAGCAACTACCTCAACGGCTAGCATCACTGCGACGCCGCAACAGTTTCAACAACAGACGTCCACTGAAAGTCTGTCCAACAGCACAAACAATGCAACAGTACCGCCGCAGCAACAACAACAACAGCCGCAGCAGCAACATGGCCAATATGCTCCAGCTGCCAAAGCCTATGCGAGCTATGGAGTCAAGTCAAGAAACATCACTCAAAACTCGAGCACAGACGCCTCCTTCAGTGCAGCTGCAACTGCTGCAGCTGTGCAGCCGGCGCTGAACTTGGCGCCACCCGCACCGCCTGCTTCGCAGAGCGCCAGCAGCGCGGACAGCGGCCAGCCCTCTTGGGCCAGTCTCTTCTCCAGCAAGAAGCCCGTGGCCAAGGTGGCGCCCTACGAGGGCAACAAGTCCCAGCAGCAGCAGCAGCAGCAGCAGCAGCAGCAACAGCAACAACTGCAGCAACCACAGCCGCAGCAGTCGTCGCAGATGCCAGTGGTGCCACCACAGTCACAAGCAGCACCACAGCAATTGCCTGCGCCACAACAGCAAGTGGCCTTTGCGTCGCCTTCGCAGAACCTGCCCAACGTTCATCATCAGTTGCAGTCGCCGACGCCGGTGCCGGCGCCAACTGGCCCGCTCATCACACCGGGCGCACTCTCCTATTCGGCGGCCTCGGCACAGGCTGTGCCGGCCTCTGTGGCCCCACCCGCCTCGGCAGCTGTGAAGCCGCTGAAAGGGGAGCCGTCGCGCGCCGCCCAGCTCGACGAGTGGACCAACAAATACGCCGACTTCTTGATACGTTACAAAACCAACCTGACGCCCATTAGCCTGCGGCCGCGTGGCCTGACTAACCGATCCAATTACTGCTACATTAACTCGATACTGCAGGCGCTGCTCGGCTGTTCGCCCTTCTACAATCTGCTGCGCTCCATACCCAAGCAGGCGGCGGTGATGAGCGAGGTCAAGACTCCCACAGTGAACGCCATGTAAGTAGCGAATGGCCCTCAACCCAGCTGCCACCCCATCCGATGCGCCACAGACAAGTCAACAGACGCCTCGGCGCCAACATCAGCTGGCGTCTGTGTTACGTCTGTGGCACAGCAATTGTCGCTGGTCTCTGGCATGCGCTGATTGCCTCCGTTTTGGACGTAGTCTGCGCTGATGTCGAGGCCAACGCAAGTGCACGGTGCGTACGCATGGTTGGCCCATCGATGGCATCATGAGCACTGCTTGCACGCACATCTATAACTGAAATATACCGTTTCTAAATTACACTCTTGTTCTCTTCCAGGATGTCGTATATGAGCAACTTTTCGTCGCTGCCGAGCGGCACTCGCCTGCGGCTGAACAACAAAGCTGCTCAGATCAAGGGCAAGGATGAATTTGCCGGCGTTGATCTGCAGTGCGATTTGGCATTTGAGCCCACGGAAATCTACAAACTGTGGAACGACAGCCGCGAGGAGCACGTGGAGGGCAGACAGGAGGATGCTGAAGAGTTCTTGGGCTACGTTCTCAACAAGCTGAACGATGAGATGCTCGAGGTAGAATTTCACTATCCCTAAACGAGTAATTGGTTGAGCACTAAGATTTCTTGTATTTGTGTAGATTATCAAGCTGATTGCCAAGCCAAATGCCCAACAGAATGGTGTGGAGCAAGAACAGGAGATCGAGGATGGAGGCGACGATTGGCAGGTAACTATTTCCTAATGTATCAAAGTGGAGCCTTATGTTCTATGTTCTATCGCCATTTATATTAATCATTGGTCGAGATGGTCGCCAATCATAGCATGGTTTAATCTTTAAATTTTCCCGCAAAGATCATACATATCTTCCTATGTATAGAATAGAGAACTTGAGTGCGCTATCCTGATGGCTTATTTTAAAATTTATTAAAAGTATTTGCAGAAATGAGTTCAGTGATATTTTATATTAAGAAAAATAAAACTAATTATAGCACTTTAGGTCGAATATAAACGTAGAACATAAATGGTGCGCTATCTTACTAAAATATCGTATTTTATTTATCATGCTCTTTAATATTTATATATTTATCATATTAATAAACTCTATTTTTCCAGATGATCTGCAACAATCGCAACAAGGGCAGCATTACGCGTCAAACTGATTTCGGACGCACTCCGCTGAGCGATATCTTCCGGGGTGAATTACGTTCGCGACTTCAACGTGAGGGCGAGCACTCCACAGATGTTATACAGCCCTTCTTTACGCTCCAATTGAACATTGAGGTAAGTGAAATTGTAGAATAGCAAATCAGATACAAGTATACTAATCGAGTGATCATTGCAGAAAGCGGCCTCGGTGAAGGAGGCTCTGGAGATACTCGTGGGTCGCGATCAGCTGGAGGGCGTCACTGGCAGCAAGAGCAAACAAGAGGTGGTCGCCTGGCAGCAAATGACGGTGGAAAAGTTGCCCATCGTTTTGATATTGCATTTAAAATACTTTGACTACAGATCCGATGGCTGCACAAAAATACTGAAGAAGGTCGAGTTCCCTGTGGAGCTCAAAATCGATGCCAGTAAGTTAATATTTCAAGCCACAAAGAGATAGACTCAGCTGTTATGCCTTTCGCAGAAATACTCGGCTCGAAAAAGACGTCGCAGAAGCAGCGCACCTATCGTCTGTTTGCGGTGGTCTATCACGATGGCAAAGAGGCCTCGAAGGGCCACTACATAACGGATGTGTTTCATACCGGCTATAACAACTGGCTGCGCTACGATGACAGCTCGGTGAAGCCGATCGGCGAGAAGCAAGTGCTGCAACCGCACACGCCGCGTGTGCCTTATCTACTCTACTATCGCCGCTTCGATACCCTGCCGCAGGTGCAGGCTAGCAATGGCGGTGGTGCCGGCAATGCAGTAGGCGCCACCAACTCCCACGCACATGCCCATGCCTCAGCCAATCCCGCGTCCACCACAGCAGCTGCTAACTCAGCGAATAATAAATGAAACTAAGTTGTCAAAATAATGGCATGCTCGGTCTAAGGGCTTGCCAGAGTTGGGTTTTTAATGCATATACATACAATTTATCGGTTATATTATATTTAAATGCCTATGTTTAAGCCCAAAGTCCAAAGCGCATGTATGTGTGAATGGTAGTTGTATTTGTGTGGTGAATGCGTGTGTGTGTGCGTGCGTCTAAGCTTAATAAATAATCACAACTCTTAGTTGGTAAGCTTTAGCCGTAATCCTAAGTTGATAAGAGTTTAGTTGTGCAACAAAGCAAAACAAAAAGCCAACTAGAAGTCGTTGTGACGAGATCTTTGTACAAAACGTAGCGCTTGGGATGGCTAAACAAAACAGCGAGCAAATTATACACATATAGACTATATAGTAAGTTTCTTAGATTCAAACCAGCCAATATCTGTAAATCCTGTGTGCCCCTCAATCCTATCTACATGGCACAAAACTCAGATGCGTGCATACGTAGTTGTAGACCTCTTCAATATGACAAACATTTAGAGCTCTATATGTACATAGATTCGTAGTATACATATATGATATGATATATTATATACACATTAAGATGTAGAATTTACTTGCAGTAATTGTTTATAGCATGCAGCATGCATTTAGGCGACAGAGGATACAATCAGCCGTGCATCAGGTTAAAAACAATAATCTTATATTGAAATGCTTTGAATATGCTTTAAAACCAACAAACAAAAACAAACATCTTTTGTATACAATACAAGACATGAAAATACATGAATAAATAGCATTATTTTGTGTGTAAGTTCAAAATAAGTGAATGCAAAAAAAGAAAAATGTAGGCGATTTTTTTTTTTTAATTAATATAGTTTGTTGCTTAGTTAGATCCCATATTAATTTTAAAACTACATATATAACTTTTATGAAATCTGTTTGCATCCATTATGATATTTTAGTATCTGTTACGAAAAATCGTGAAATTGGCTCATTCATTATACATATTTAAATATTCTATTTTTTTGAGAAATTGTTTTATGTTTCGTTCCCAATTACAAACAAACAAGATTTCTAGTTGCATATGGAGTTAATATCACACATTACGCATATACATAAAGGTTCACATATATTTTTTTTCTAATTCATATATTATATATACATTTACTATAAATAACGTGCCAATGTTAAAATTCTATAAAAATGTAAAAAAAAAAAAATTATCCAAAACAATAATTTTTGATACTTGTGTAGTCAGTGACTTATCAGAGGAATATTGTTAAACTTAGTTACAAACTTTTGTTGGAATAGGTTTTATATATAATAATCGATGTAAATTAACGTAAAACCTATATAAAACCAATGCAAACGCGCCGACTTAGAATTGTTAGAACCTTCATCTGAAAGTAATGAAGTTTAAACTTGCAAGTTAAAAACTCTATTCTACAAACAAATTGTTTAAAAATAATATATATTTTTTAAAATTATAAAATGAATAAAATTAATGTTCTGCATATGGCGCGAAAAAGTTTTCTTTACAACATTTCGAATCTTGAGTAAATATCAGCGCAATGCCATTGTAAAAAAAAAAAAAAAAAAAAAAAAAAAAAAAAAATTAAAAAAAAGCAAAAATTCTTGAAATATTAAAGAATAGATGTAATGCAATGCATATATAAGTTTATATATATTGTGTGTACACTAATGAATATATAAATTGTACTATGTATATTTTGATGTTACACATATATGAATTAATTGTAAGCCAAATTATAGTAACATTTTTTTCTAAAGAAATTTTACAGCGTCTGTGCTTTGCTAGTTACAAATAGGTTCCTAAAAATACGTGGAAATTATGTAAAACGAAACAAAAACAAAAAAGAAAAAGTAATGCAACTACAAACTGAAATCGATTCAAAATAACACAAAACTAAGAAGCGTAGCGAAGTAACGGTAAAAATAAAGAAAAACAATAATATTAGGACATGTAGATTAAAGCCAAGCTAACAACATATGAGACGTAAACAAAACTCTACATATATAACATTTACATATAAATGAACATTAAATTTATACTTAAAATTTATACTTAAACGTAAAGGAAAACTATAAAGCTGAGGAAAATCATGATGAATTTTCATAAGTACATAAACATATATTTTTTTCAAGCGAAACTAATATGTTCAACATACATCGCAAATATATATTCTATATATATAAAAACAAAAACAGAAAGCTACCGAAACTAAAGACGTAATAGATATAAATTTTTGTGAAAAATTTGTTTTATTGTTCAATATTATTTAATACTCCGGAAGCCAGGCCCAAATTATAAAAACCTTTCTAGATTTTGCAAAATTTTATATATATATTTTTTAAATTGTTATTTTTTTTAACATTTTAATATTTCTTTTGGCGCTACATCGGTTTTGATAGCCCTCGTATATGTTTTATGTTTAAGTAGTTTCTAAGGCTGTGTAACTAACTAAATACAAATTAACAATTGTTTAAATCGAAAAATCATAAAAATCATAAATGTTGATGAACCGTTGCCTGACAATTTTTGTTTACCTTTGTTTTCCCGTTTTTGAGAGATAATTGTTGTGACCCTAGAAGGAATGAGAATAAAATAAACGAAAATTGGCAAGTGCACTTACTAAACGTATAAACGCGAATACGATAAACAGATAAGATATACATGAAGTAATAAATAATTACAACTATAAGTAATAATTAAACAATTATGAGAGTATACAAGCAAACGACAAACAAACCTAAAGTTAAAGTTAAGGTTAAATGTTTTGTAATAATTTTCTATTGCGAAAGAGAAAGTCGGAACGGGCGATGCAGAAAGATAAGCAATTTTGAATATACATATTGCGAATGGAAACAAAACAGAAAACGGAATGAATCTTTAGAGATTCAAACACGTTTTGATACATATTGAATGAAAATGCAAGAACTTGTAATAATATTAGCCCACATTTAGTGTAAACTGAAACAAACGAATTGAAAAAGATGTACTAACTAAAGAATAAATATACCTATTTAAATTGTAATACGATAAATCAAGCGAACCTAAAATGAAAATTAAACTAGCAATAAAATAAATAATACCATTACCAAAATCAATTGTTTTTCGTAGATATACATGGGAGAGTGTACTAAAGGGCAAAGGCGGACGAAAAGTGAAAGGAGACAAGCTGAGAGAGTCGCTAACAGATTCGGGTGTGTAGGTCAAAAACAACACGGCACGAAGACGCTCAAAACCGGTTCTCAAAATAAGCAAGCGATTTGTATCGATGTTTTATTGACAAGACGAAACTTGAATACTCTTTCGAATGAATAATAAAAATGGATCCCAAAAATAATTAAGTATTGGTATATATATATATAGCTGTCCATATGCTATGTATAGACTATATATTGACTCTATTAAACGAAATTAGGTATAAAGCTGAGGGTAAAGGCAATTGAATCTGCGACTCATTCAAGTTTTCTTTTTAATAGCTCAAAGGCTGATTGAAAATAATATTGTAGTAAATATATTGCAACTATTTCGTTATCAATTTCAATTCTTATTGCATTCAATATCTATTTATTTTCATATTTGAGTCAACCTCAAATAGTAAAACGTAAAACTATAGAGTATGTATGATAAAAGAGTATACAATATTCAACACTATTAAAAGAGAAGTGCGTTACGTCAAGCTTAGCTCTTACTTACGTTTTATGCATGTCTTGCTATTCGAACTTAATGACGTTTCCTCTATTCTTGGAGTTGGAAAGGGAATGGAGCACAGAATAGTTTGTAAAATTTAGTCGGCGAACGTCTTCAGAGCATTGAAATTCATTTGTTATGCGATTCACAAGCCAAAACAAATCGAAACTCGTTTTTAGCCCACGGCTGTGCAAGAGTCACTTATTTGGAGACCGTTTTCGAGCTGAGCGAGCAGTCGCGAGGCACCTGAAAGCAGAGGCACTTCGCTCGGTGTTGAGGATTTCGTACGGCCCACAGTTGAAAGTTTTGGCAAATGTGCGGGCTGGTCGGGCGGCATGTTTCGGAATGTGCTGTGTCTGGCGCTGGGCCTGATTGTGGGCGTGCAGCTGACCGAGCTGTGGGACTACATGACGCTTACGGGTGAGGAGTATGAGAGCACGGCCATTGCGGCCGACACAGCCGCGTCTCTCACCAGGCCGTCGCTGGCGGATTGGCTGTTTCATGAGACGCGCGTGCTCTGCCTGGTGCTGACCATGCCAGCTCACCACAAGACCAAGGCGGCAAAGGTTCGCTCCACCTGGGGCTCGCGCTGCAACAAGCTGATCTTTATGAGCAGCGAAGACGACGACGCGCTGGGCGCCGTGAATCTGAATGTGTCGGAGAGCCGTGACAACCTGTACAGCAAGGTGCGGGCGGGGTTCGCCTATGCCTACGAGCATTACGTGGAGGATTATGACTGGTTTCTCAAGGCGGACGACGACACGTAAGTGGCGCATAAGCTGCGGCATTCGCATTCTCTCTGCTGACTGCTCAACGCATTTCTCTCAGCTATGTGATAATGGAGAATCTGAGAATGTTCCTCTACCCGTTCGACCCGGAGGCGGCTGTCTTCTTTGGCCATCGGTTTCGCACTTCATATCCGCACGGCTACATGTCCGGCGGTGCTGGCTATGTGCTCAGTCGCGATGCACTGCGTCGCTTGAACCTCTTCGCGCTGAACAATACAAAATTCTGTCCGCTGAATACCTATTCAGAGGACAGACAGATTGGTTACTGCTTGCTAAATGTGGGCGTAACCGCCGGAGACTCCAGGGATGAGCACGGCCGCGAGAGATTCCTGCCCCTTCATCCCAGACACTTGATGCCGAGCATACAAAACGGCACTTGGCTGACGACCTACTCCTACTTCACGCCGAATGTAAGCCCCCCCTCCCCCTGGCTTGGATTGAATTAATATAGATTACTGTAATTGCATTTCATATTCACAGATGAGCGATTGCTGTTCCGAGACGGCCATTAGTTTCCACTACACCAAAATGCATGATTATGATAGGTATGAGTTCTTCTTGTACCACCTCCGGGCCTTGGGGCTCCCAGAGAAGCCGACTGTGCTGCCAACGAAACTAACCTATGAGCAGATGGAGCAAAAGCTCGACTTCTGGAATCAGCAAGAAACGGACCAAACTGTGCCACTTAGTTGATAGCTCAGCTTGAATATTTCCAAGTATCAATTGCAAGAATTACGTCTCGTTGTTGAGCTAGGAATTCGAGTAATTAGTTGTGCGATTAATTAATTCCATGTATGTATCATATTCTGTGCTGACTGTTAATGGTGCAAACAGACATGTAAGACCGACTGCTTAATACTCGTCCAAGCTTTAAACATGATTCAATTTAAATTTAAAGTCGACATTGAAAGTTTTCCGATGGGGCACGCCCCAAGTCATATTATTTATACATAGCTCGATCTGTAGGAGCTGAATCAACTTGTGGATTTTTGGCTTAAAAGTGCGCAATTATGTATGATTCTCTGTAATACACAATATTTTATATACCAATAAGGGATATGCAGTTAACTAACTGTTACACTTTAGGTCTATGAAGCTATCATACCCATTTCATATCCTAAACGGGTATAAAAACTTGGTTTAATCAAGGTTGGGTAAAAACATAAACTGGTATGTATACATATATAAACAACAATGTGCATATTTTATATATTCAATGATCTGAATTACATACATAGTTAGCATTCCGCACATGAATGCATATGATGTAGATAGATATATATGTGTGAATGTATGATTATAGTATATAGTGTAAAGTATATAAGACGCCTACCTGTATTGTTTTTATATATGCATACACGTACATATGAATGTATGTACATATATATAAATTAATAAATATATGTGCTCATTTATAAATATATGTAAGTATTTAAGTATGTATACAAATATATACGATATAATGTATGTGTGGATGTAAATTCCTATAATCTATGTATGTACAGTGGAGTGGAAACATTTTGTTCCTCACTATATTCAAAATTCCTATAATTCGTTAAAGCTGCTGTGCCCTTGAAAAAAGTCGTTAATTCGTAAAAATTACTTAATTAATTAAAAGTTACCCCTTATAAAAGTTAATTTTGATACGGAACCTTCTGCAATTCGCAATGCATACCGAAACTTTTTAGTTTTTGCATGGAAACACGATATCTTCATGTTGTGAAAAACGTGGAATTTCGTCATTTTTTCAAATGTTTTCGCTTCGTTTGACGAATTTCTATACACGTGTTAAGTCGATTTATAAAAATGTCAAATAAACGTACGCATAAGACCCTATCAATCTCTCAACAGCTGAGGCTGATTTCGTTGATAATGCAACAAAAACAATTGACGTGGCAAAACAATTTAAAGTCACTCCATCAACAGTCATATCAGTCCAACACAAAAAGAGTTTATTCTGGAAACAGAAGCAAACTGAGGCCGATAGGCATTGTCAAAAAAAGCATAAAATCCCTGTTCGAAATCGAATTTGGTTAAGCCTCTTCAAATAAAAATCTGGATAAATCGTATAGCCATGTAATTCGAAAATATATTCTGGGCTCTACAATATAACGTATTATTGGGATTCTACATATCTAGGAATGTACATAAATACATATGTACATATAGAATATATGTAAGAGTGGATGTATATATGTAATGTGTGCATTTGATGTATCTATAAGTGTATACATTTATGTATGTGTGTGCTACGTGTGTAAGACAAATTTGATTTACCTAAAGATATACCTATATGTGTATATAAATACATCAGTCAGATTATATTTATTTATACGTATATAAATATAAATAAATGAAAGGTATGTATAAATATTTATTTATTGTCAAGTTCACATACGTAATATCACACAATAAACACTGTGTATCTGCCGACTTTGACAAATGATATAGGCGTATCAGTGAACTTAATGTAATTGGCCGACTTTGTAAATAAAACAAGAGACTCGCAGCCGGAACTAAGATTTATTTGACAATGTAGCAAACAATTGCATGTTGCCATGTGGAGACAGTAGAGGCGAGACACGGGAGCGAGTGAGAGGAGGTGAGGGACGCATGAGAGGGAGACGGAAACCTAAAGTTTAGCTGTCCATTGGCACAGCTTTGGCAATTTATCAATGGAGTCGGGTGGATTCGGCTGTGGACCCCTGCTTTAAAGCCCAATTTATCACAAAGAGGACGGGCGCGTGCCGCGTGCGCCGCTCTCCGTCCGCCGACCACCTCAGAGGATTAGAGGGCTGAGGAACAAATGCCGAATGGGAATCGAGAACCGGAAAATCGAGTGAAACGTGCCAAACACGTGAAAAATACCTGGGGATCTCGGTTGCTTTTATTATTCGAGTTTCTGTTGCATCCACGCCGCGTCGCGCCGCCATTGTCGTTATTTATGAGCATCGAAATGAGCTGAAACTGCAGCGCAAATGCCTCGATGTGTCGCAATGGGGTGAGGCGGCAAGGGGCTGGTGGCACGCGAGCCTCGGCTCGGCCATGGACCGCGCCTTGGATAAGGATAAACTCGTTTTGGCAAAGCCAGCGCCGGCAGCTGCCACACGGGCAAAGCCCAAATGCAGTCGAGCCGTAAATGTTATGTAAAAACGCATTTACGAGCTGACTGTATGTACGAATGCGTGCGTGCGTGTGTGTGTGTGTGTGTGTGTGTGTGTGTGTGTGTGTGTGCCGTTATCTAACCGAGGGTTGCCTTTGGAACGTGTCCTGGATCGTGCCATGCGCCCCTTACTCTACCCGTGCTCCCTTGCTCGGCTTGCGCTTGCGCAGCGCCCGCCGCGCAGTTTGTTAGCTTAATTTCCATATTTGCATAAATAAATAAATACATACATGACATGTTTTTACACAGAACTTCGTTGATTGGAACAGTTGTGCCGAGCTTTATCTACTCGCCCCTTCCCCGCCCCATGCAAATAGGCCAAAGTCCGTGTAGAATCGAACACGTGTGCTGGCCAACAAGCCGTGAACATGCAAATGACTGTACCTGGAATTGGTCCTAGACATGAACAACGCATGACAGATTTCTCGGCTGGATTGCTATCAGCTGCCTGCCACGCGGAACCCATTGAAGTGCCGCCTCAGCAGCTTATGCGATAAGAGTTGAGCTATTGCTGCTGGGAGATAGCAAGGGAATTTCAAAGGAATTGATTAGTGGAATTACAAATTCGATACAAATCTTGTCGAAATCTTTCTTCAAATAACAACAACAAATATCATTTCGGCCATAAAACTGTTAATACGACGCTTAAGGCATCCTTAAAGCTAGCCCAATAATTGCCCACGTTTAGTGTGCAAGGACCTCCCTTACCAATAATCAAATGTCGTCCTTTCTCAAGCAGTTCGGCACGCCCTCCACTTTAGCTCTTGCTATTTCCATTATTGCCATTGATAAACCCTTAAGTTGTCGCTTACTGCGCACATTGTTGGAATCATTCGCTGCTTAAGACCCAAGTCACAATCCGTATACGAGTCCCTCCTCGGCAGGCTCCGCAACGCCCATGTAATTAGTAGCATTCCTTAGCTGGCAAAGCGAATGGGAGATAGGGAAAGAGAGAGAGAGAGGTGAGCGAGAGAGTGAGAGCGTGTCCATGCTCAAGACTCTCGTTCTGGCTCTGGCGACAAGCTGTCTGACATTGTGTTTACACATTTCGAAGACTTTTTATAATCAATTTAATGGCTTCCCTGGTGCAGAGCAAGCATAAAAAGGAACTACACTCAAGGTGAGGAGCCGAAGACAATGGCTGAGCAAAAGGCACATGAATAAAAAGCCAACGCGAGGGACTCTCTGCGGGCATTTCAATTTGTAGCTGCCTAAAGTGAAACCTACAATTGGCACTTTCCAGCCAAAGGAATTGCCCCTTTTCCGTTTGCCCTATTCCTTGCCTTTTATTATTTCATTCCCTTCTCATTTTTTTTCTTGCGGCGCCGCAACTCAATTAAGTGACGAAAGTTGAATGAAAACCCAAAAGGGCAAGCCGGGCGAGCACCTCACAAAGGCGGGCACCTTGCAGTTCCGATAAGAAAGGCGGCTCCGAGCAGCGGCTCTGCCTGAGCCTGAAACCGAAACCGAAACCGAAACTGGAACTGGAACTGAGACTGGGACTGAGAAGGGTCGGCAGCGAAGCACATAAATGCCGCCGCAAAAAGGGGCTGCGGTGACTCAACAATGTCTTGAACGTGTTGCTTCGCTTCCTTCGGAATGTTTCTTATGAGGATTTCCACTGCTCTGCCGCCAGCAACCCCTAAACAAAACGCAGCCAAGACAGTCGAGGGTTTCCTTCAGCCGCGACGTGTGCCAAGGCAGCTACTCCAATTGGGAATGAGACTGAGACTGAAAGCAAGGTATGTCTGTGTGTATGTGTGGTACCTGTAGCAGGATCAAGACTTGCGCTGACAAGGCGACGTTCATTGCGCCATCGTCTGACGTCGCCGTCAACGTCGCCGCCTCGCAGTTCCGCCGTCAAGTCTCTGTGAAGGACACCAGGAGTTCCGTGCGCAGTGAGTCATTGGCGTGTCGTAAAGCGGAAGCGATTGTCAGAGCGGGGACTGCATTTTCCTTTTCCTCGTTTTCATACACAAAAATATTGAAAATTACAATAAACTAAAAACGGGCAATTAAAGGACACGTGCACGTGTATGCAAAAAGGACTCGCGCTGCAAAGGAAGTGGCAGCCAAGCGTTAAATTGAAGCATGCCAAATCAATTAAAAATTTGTAGTCGCTTGTTTTTCTTCCTAACACAGTTTACATGGCAACAGATATCCAAATTTTCTCTCTTTTTATGACCATTCGCTGTGTAATTTATTTGATTTTTAAAAATGTTCGATGAGGATTTTCCATCTGAAGCTGCGCTGCCGTTGCCCGCATTGGCAGCTGCTGCAATTCGCTTATCGCATCTGGGTAAAAAATCAAAATACCTTTACACATGATTTATCCAAGCACTGCATGTGTGCGCGCGTGTATCTGTGTGTGCATGCGTGTGTGTGTGTGCGGCAGCTGCCGCTGGTTTCGGCTGCCCCCTTTGGCATTTGAGGGCTGCGATCGCCCTTGGCCGAAAAATGCTTATGCTGTTGCCCGAGAGTCCAAAAATCAACCCCCTGTTGGTCGGCCCAAAACAACATTTGGGGTGGCTTCTCATCAATGCATATGCATGCCACTACGTGTGTGTGTGTGTGCGTCAGTGTGTGTGCTGTACAATTTAGAACAGCACTCCGTTATTTAGTTGTTGCTATTCTATGCACATAAATTGCATGAAATCCAATATATCTGGTCCAAATTCAAGCGCCGACTCTACCAAAAATCTGACCATCCGAGTTGTTACTGTTGCAACTGCAACTCCCATCGAAACAGCTCGTTTCCAGTTCCCTAATTATCCATCCATCTGTTTGCGCAAGGGGACTGGGCCGCTGTGGTTGCTAGCCACATGCAGTGGGCTCGCCTCGAATTGCGTCCTGCTTTCTAGATTTCTAATGGGCGAGCGCAACGAACTCTTTACCGACAAGTCCCTTCGACTGGAACTAATGAGTATTGCCCTAGCAGACTGAACCGAATTTACCCAAAATTCTATGCCATACAAGTTGGGCTTCTAAT